TTTTTCGTTGCATTTGTCGTCTTTGTGTTGATCCATCCTTTGTATTCCGAGGCTTTTGGTCGAAATTTTTAGCATTAATTTCTTTTGACAAGAGACGAGTTGCTAGCCCATCGCCTCAACCCTCCTCCTTTATCCGGGCTTGGGACCGGCATCGGCCTTTACTGAGCTACTCAATTCACCCAGTACTTACCGAAGGCGGAGTTCCCTCCTTTAGATATACAGACAATTTTAAAATAGCAAAGAAGAAAAACTCTTTCTTGTTTGTTGACTGTCGTCAGACGTACTCTTTCTCTCTGTCACTCTCTTGGCTGTTATCTATCGCTGAAGAGTCACTCTCTCTACTGTTGACTGCTGCTAACTAATTATCTCTCTCCCGCTTTTACTTACGCGAAAAATACCGCAAATACTATTTTAAATCGCGTACAGACGAAAATGTGCTCTATCTCGTGATCTCAGTGTTAGTACCGCGAAACACTGTTCAGAAACCGGTGCCCGGATAAATTCCGCGTATGAAGAACAACCACGAGTGAAAGCCTGTTAATATCGCGAAAGTGTGGAGCAGAAATGTTGGTAAGACTTTGTATAAACTTATTGTCTGTATAACTCTTTACTACATATCCTAATTTATTTGAACCAGCCCTATGTAATACAGTCCACATACACTGAAATTGTACTTATCATTTCACATATGTACACAGTTTTGGTACACTGTGCTCATAGGAATTTGCCTTGTCATTCTCTTCCAGTCCAATGTTGTATATTGACTTAGCTGTTACATACGTAATTTTTAAACCGGCGTATAGTGTTCGAAATATAAACATAAAATGAACAACCGAGGAAAGAGAATAGTTCTTATGGTAAGAAGTAGTACCTAATTAGTTGGATTACGAATATTTTGCATTGAACAGATTATAGTAACGAATGTTAAAAACTATAGCATGAATTTTATTACAGATCTAAAAGATAAGAATCAAGAACGACATCTGTTTAGATACAGTGGCAGGGCCTTCTCATTAAAAACGATTATCAGAGTTAGTGTCGGCGAGCCGTTTGCCACATTGCCGGAACCATTTGCCGACTCTGAAACTGATTACCTCCCATCTGACCAAAATACTATAGAAAATGTCACACTGAGAGTGCAGTACGGGTAAGATACGGCAATGCTTTTCTGATGGAGAATAAACGCGCAGGGTTGTCGGTTTTCTCCAGTTGTTGATTGCTCATTGTCTCACACGACCGGCTTGGATAAAATGCATCTGCCGGCAGTACGAGTAAAATATTTTATATCATGTATACGTATACAGTAGAATAAAAAGGCATTGATGAGTTATTGACAACGAAAACTATGAATTTTGCATATAAAACGTCAACATGAGATATACAATTGAATCATATTCATAAGAGTAACATTTGAACACCTCTTTACAAGAACAACATACAATAACTGTAGTTTTAATGTTTTACATAAAATAGAAAAAACCTACATAATTTCTAGGAAGAGAATTTGGAAACTTGGAAATGATATTATTTATAGATATTATATATAATATTCAAATTTCCAATTCTTTCATAGAAATTAGATTTTTTCTATTGTATGTAAAATATTAAAAATACAGTTATGTTGTTTCTATAAATAGGTCTTCATTTCTTTTGTAAAACTTCTGCTACAAATTACCATCATTAACATAATCACCTAAATATGGCCATAAACTTGTTTGTCATAATTAGTATTTGATAAACTCCAAACTTTCCCTATTTCACCTCCCTAGGGTGGTGAAAGTGCTTTTGGAAAACGAAACTACACTTCAAAATTTAGTCCGAGTTTCAACAGAGAGCATGGAGTCCCATAAGTTTAAATCCGGTGAATTATTTAACGGTTGCGCTAAACTCGTAGTGTTAAATGTGTTGTGTTTTTTACAAAATACGGAACAACTTAATGTAAGTGCTGCTGTAAGACGTACTTCGTTGATGACTGGTGTTAGCGAAAGAAGCATTTACAATTTCAAAAAAGAAAAAGAACAGAGTGGAACGTTGAAATCGCCAAAAAAACGTAAAAAACGAGTGTGTCAATCAAATTCTAGAATATTCACATATGACGAGGGTGTAAGAAGTATTCTACGGAGAATTGTTCATTGTGAATTTTTCATGAAAAATTTGCCGCCATTCTTAAAGCATATACATAACTTCATACAAGGTAATGAGAATATACAGCCGTTGTCTCTTTCTACTTTATACAGACTTCTGAAAGATATTGGATTTGTTTATAAGAAACGTGGCCGAAGAAGCATCATGGTGGAGCGAGAGGATATTATTCATTGGCGCCATAATTATTTGAGAACTATACGACGTTTGCGAAAAGACCATTGCAATATCATATATTTGGACGAATCGTGGGTTAATGTTGGCCAATCTATAAATTACGAATGGTGCGATACTACGATACAAAACAGTCGTGATGCTTTTCTCAAAGGTTTAAGTACTGGCTTAAAAGCACCTACTAAACGAGGTCCACGATATGTTTTATTGCATGCAGGTTTTTCAGGAGGTTTCCTTCCTGGCACACAGCGTGTTTTTCTGGCAAAGAAAAATGATGGCGACTATCACGATGAAATGGATGCCGCATATTTTGAGTCGTGGTTTAAGGAGACATTAATATCAAATTTACCAAATAATGGTCGCAGGAATGTCATTGTAATGGACAATGCATCGTACCACTCCCGTAAAGAGAGATTCCCTAACAATTCCTGGAATAAAGCTGCAATCAAGGAATGGCTAGTGGAAAAAGACATTTTTTTCGAGGAGTGTTATTTGAAATCCGAGCTATTAGAAGCAGCGCGTGCTTTTAAAGATCAATACGATAAGTATCATCTTGATGAGTATGCTTCACAACATAATGTTTATATTTTAAGGCTTCCTCCATATCACTGCGAATTGAATCCTATAGAAATGGTGTGGAACCAAGTTAAGCGATATGTAGGTACCCATAATACCACTTTTAAAAACGACGAGGTACGCCAGTTGATCGACGACGGTTTCGCACGCGTCACAGAGCAAAATTGGCGCAATTATGTCACTCATGTTGTTGAGAAAACGGAAACTGAGATGTGGACTGCGGACAACCTGCAAGATGACGTAGACCAATTGATAATACACGCGAACACAGGGGAGAGTAGCGAAAGCGAATCCGACATCTCGGATGTAGAGGACGACTTTAGTATAATTAATTGAATATCTGTGAGTAACCTCGATTATTTTACACTGTATAACCAATAAAATGCATTTACCAGTCCAATCAGAGTATGGGCTTTTCGGATATTGGGCTGGGTGCACGGAAATCGAGTTCCCGGAGGTTCCACCCTGTATATTTATAGCTATCAAGAAATGTAATTTAAAATATATTTGTTAGTTTAATAAAGTATAAATATAATATAATGTTAAATAACTTACACTATAAACCTTATACCTGCTCATCTGGTCAAGTGTGGGCAAGGAAAACCATTATCCCATATGGAATAACACAAGGTTTCGCTGAAAACTACCAGGTTGCTATGCCAAGGAACTAGGTAAACTTATGTTGTGTGTAAAAAATGCGAGACTGCATTATGTTTTAACAAGGACAAAAACTGCACTTCAGATTTCCACAAAAAAAAATTTCATAGTAGGTGTTAAAATTTCGCAGTGATTCAAGTGCGCAACTTGTTTTTTTAATAACATCGCCGGGATTAAAAAATGTGCAAAGCTTTTTCGATATTCCCGTTCCTGATAATTTTTCACATATTTACAAAAGAAAAAGTTTTTCTTGGATATTGGGCTGGGTGCACGGAAATCGAGTTACCGGAGGTTCCACCCGGTATATTTATAGCTATCAAGAAATGTAATTTAAAATACATTTGTTAGTTTAATAAAGTATACAGTTTTATAATAAAATTCTCGCTAAAAACTTAAGGTCTTTTTATTCAAATTCATGCCTCTTATTTGGCTACTTGAAGGCAATTATTTTATCAATATATTATTTTATAATAAATAACAGAGCCCGGCGTAGAGATCTGGGTACGGTTCTGTGACTACCACTTGGACCTGTTTGTATCGCCAAGCACAAGGCGTGAAATCCGGCAATTGTGCATTCCTATATTAGCCGTACTGCACTCTCGGTGTGACATTTTCTATAGTAGTTCAGCTTCGTCAACACATGATACAGAAAATTTTCAAGTACTTTCTTCTGTAGTTTACAGCATAGACGATTCAGCACAAAGAGAAAGAAAACGCAGGCTAGTAGTCAAACCAGAATTATGAAAAAAATAATAAGGTGAAGTTGTTACGAGTGACTGGCAAAGAATATGTAATCAGAAAAGGGGTAAAATAAGAGCTAAGTCACCACGAGAAACATTATTAACATACCTCGAGAAAAACAAATAATCATTTGCCAAGAATATTAAAATCTTACTGATTCAACAAAGCAAAAAAAAATTATTTGCTCTTTACTCGAAGGGAAAAACATTGACAGAGAAAGAAATCGCAATGAGAGAAAAAACTAGAAAACATAGTCGTTATTATTATTTACTGTATTTAGGGTAGTTTCCCCTTGCTTTCCTCATCGCAGTGTAGGAGCCAATAAAACTGCTTCAGTCATGCCTCCTAGTGTCCAATGATGAGCCGGTCCTGGATCCATTCCCGTACGCCATAACTTGGTACTGAAAACGCTGCTTCCGTTTCCAGGAAAGGGGAACTAGGCTATGCTTATTTAATGGCGGCAATACTCGCCATGTCAGAATACTTTCCTTGGGTTATTGTAGCATTTATAAGGTATGCCTTCCTAAGGGATACCCACCAATTGGTCGAGGATTGCTTATTTAGTATATTCGCAACTAACCTTCATATCTGAAGGCCATCCACTATTTGCTACCTGTGACCCCGCTTGTAGCCTGCGGCTTTGCCTCAGCTACAGAACACGAAATACAATAGTCTACAATAATAGTTTATAATGATTTTTCTTATTTTAGGACTATTTGCACAATACGATTATGGTTCTATAAAAAATTTGCAAAGGTATAACCAAAGTACACCGCCTATTTATGACCTTAATAAAGTAACAGCATGCATTGCTATATTTTATGGAGAAAAAGACGATGTAGCAACAGTTAAGGTAGATATAACTAATTTATTTAAGTACGTAGGTGACTAAATGCAATAGAATATTGTCAATATCTTAGGGGCGTTCCTGTGGTGACTTAATAGAATAGTTCATTAGTTTATTAGTAGTTTGCCCATTATTTTCTACCAAAGTATGATATTGTGTATTATTGACCTATATTATTTGGGAACTCGAAGGTCCAGCTTCATCTGTTGTTCTGAGAGTTTCGATTAACTTCTGGTGATGACTGGAATCCAGCTGCAGATATGGTTTTAGATAACTTGCATTTGAGTGAACCGTTAATTTAATTAACTTCAGTTTAAAAATACCTTGCTTAAACAAGACTGAAACAGCTGAAGATCGATGAGAATAGTTTGTTCTTTTATGTTTTTTTGTGTCTATTTCAATTTTTTTAGCTGACATTTTTGTCCACTTAAATATGGTGTTGATTTCAAGTGGACAGTTTTTGAACCAAGATCCATTCTTCCAGTTAGGGTGAACGGTAAGAGTCTGTCTGATAAAATCTTTGGTCCATAATGAATATGGACCACCGCATACTAAGCGTAAACTTTCTCATCGGAAAACTCGGAAGAACCTTTTTCGGTTGCTTTCAGGGATGCTCTTCTTTTTTTGATATTTTTCTTCAATGTCAAAGCTGGCAAAGATTTTTTCTTCGGATTATGTTCAAGCTGAACTTTACGCTTGACGGTGTCCCTTTTCTTCGAATGTTCTTCTTCAATCAACATCTTCTCTGGTGTATCAGTCAGAATAGCTGTCTTTCGTCTCATTCTTTCTCCTTTTTTGGGTTTGGTTAGGTCTGCTTTCGACAATGGCTTAATATCTTGAGGCAAAAGAAATACTGCTGGATTATTAGGCTTAAGTGATGGAGTAGTGTGTATTTTTGGTAACAAGTGGATGGACCCGGTTGACTTTCCAAGTAACTATTGTGTTGAACTGTAGGTGATTCTGGTTCATTATTTTCTATGATTTCTTCATATTGAGGTCTATCAGTTACAGTTGATGCAATAAAATCACTATCATTAAAAATCTTTTGATTCAAAGGTCAAATACCAGTGAAGGAGAAACCAGCAAGAATATTGACAGGCGTAGTGGCCAAAGGAAGTGATGTTTTTACAAATGAAGGCAAATCGTATATAGTTATTCTTTTTCCAGGATTATTTTTCATCCACTGATCACCAGCATTATTAAAATATTTCTTAACCCTGCGGCAGGCGCGACATTTTAAGTTGCACGAGCAGGCGCGACGCTGTGTAGAACACCGCAAACTCTAGTTCTCATATAAAACTTAGTTATACGCAAAATAACCATTTATTATTAAAAAGTGACATTCGTAAAAAATTAAGAGAGTTTCTAACGTAGAATCCTATAAAAAAATAAAATAAAAATATGGAACCGAACCAAGATACATTAACAAACAAAAAAAATATTTAACTAATTGTTGAGCTCCGAGCAGTTGTTGCATGTTATCTGCCTCACACCATGTTTTTGGCATACAAAATGCTTACATTCGATACATCTAGTGGCAACTTTTATATTTTTATGTTTTCCACATAATTTACAAGGTCCAATTCTTCTCTCTTCGGGGGCAGGTGGTTGCTGTAGTCTATATTTCGAAAGAAACTCGCGCACATCCTTGGGAAGGCTCTTTATCTCAGCTCGTTCCTTCAAGTGGCTTTCCATTAGTTCAAATGCTAATTTTGTGAGATATACTCTGCGTCTTGGATGCTCTACTAAAGGTCTGTTTGCTTTATAAATAATCTCGGAATTAATACCAGCCAAATCAAGTATTCTAAAGAATAAAGCTAGTGGCCATCTTCGTGTTATCCTTTGTGTCGAATACGAACTACACATTTGGTCGACTGTGTCAACCCCACCTTTTGTAGCATTGTAATCCACAATGATTTCAGGTTTATTTGTAAGTTCATCAATTTTTCCATTATCATGCATCGTTGATAATAATAGCACACATTTATTCGGTTTTGGCTTGAATGAAACAAGAGATACATCGTGTTGAAAGCCAAACATTGCTGTACCAATTTCGCGGTTCTTTATATTGACAAATTCTGGCGGAATTTCTGGTTTATTTTTTTTTTAGGGTCCCTACAATAGTCATCCCATTTTCTAGTAAATATTTAGCCAATGGATAACTGGTGTAATAATTATCCGTCGTAAGATTTCTATTAGTGTGCAGGAGGGGTTGCACTAATCTTTGAACTATATCTGTTGGTTTATTTGATGCTTGGAAAGGGCCAGTTTTCTGAGTTCCACAGTAAATTTCAAAATTCCACGTGTACCATGTTTGACTATCGCACACTGCGTAAAGTTTCAAACCATATTTTGCTGGCTTGTTCGGAATATATTGAACAAATCCACATCTTCCCCGGAACGGATGCAACATTTCATCAATAGTAATGCATTCGCCGAGGGTATAGTTCTTTTGACAATTATTCGTAAATTTGGAATAAATATTTCGAATAGCTGTAATTTTGTCAGAAATGACTCTTTCATTTCTTGTTGTAATATCGTCAAATCTTAAGCTACGTAGTAAAAACAGAAATCTCTTATAGGCAAAATTAGCACGTAAGATCATCATGCCCGTACCATCGTCAGACCATAACTCCAATACATTAGCATGATTGCCCTTTTTTATACCAATTAAAAACAATACACCGATTAGAGCCATTACTTCGTTCCTTGTTGTTTTCTTACAGTCTCTCTCTCTCTTGTAATTTACAGATATTTTGTTGTCGATATATATATTTGTGCATGTTACGATGAAGTCTATAATTTCTGTATCAATAAATTTAAGAAATGCTTCTAGTTCATTTCTTGTATCTCTAGCTTGACTTGTGGACCTAGCAATAACCTTAACGATATTTTTTGATTTGGTTTTACTTGGAAGGCTTAAAGGGTTACTTATCCATAATGTGGAAGTGTCTTTGCCAATATAAAATCGAAAATCCACGGCAAGAGGTTGCTCGTCTGGTGTATCAGGCTGTTCCTCAGAAATGTCCATATCGCCTGGTGTATCAAGCTGTTCCTCAGAAATGTCCATATCTGAATCAATCGACTCCTCAGATTCACTGTCATGCTCACTGACCATAATGTTTTCTTCTGAGCCCTCGCTGTCATCACTAAATTCACACGTATCTTCAATTTCTGAGAGATTTTCAGCCAAATATTCAAGCTCTTTTTGAGTAAGAGGAGTTCTGTTTTGTTTTCTGTCCCTGTAAAAAAATGCTAATCTAAATAAAATCCAGAAACCTCTGAAATTTACAGATACATGAAATGATATTTAGATATACCTAAAATAAACGTTTGTAGCATGCCTATAACGCTAAAGAACAAAGTGATATAAATATTTGCAGTTATATACCTCATAATATGTCAATTCCTATGAAATAAAAACACACAAAGGCTCACAGAAAATTCATTGTTATGCGAAAATGTACTTACATGACTAGGCGCACCGCTGTGTTCCACACCGCTAAACAGAACTTACTAGTTTCGCAGCTACGCAAGTACTACAGTAGTTTATAACACAGCTCGCTTTGTGCTTGATAGGTTGCCAGATACTCTCAGCAAGGAATACCTAGACAGACGGTCCAAAACTAACAGACATAGACGCGTGCGCAAACATTTCAGATAGTTGCGGTGCTGTACACAGCGGCGCGCCTGCCGGAGGGTTAAACGGACCATATACCCCACGATCTAAAGGTTGAAGCCTATGTTAAAGTAAAGTAATAAAATTAGCTCTGCAAAATTCTATCACAGATATCGAAATATGAGACGAGTGATTGTCTAGCAATACAAGCACTTTATTGGCTTCACTTGGCTTTACACGTTTAACAAAATGTTTCATAAAACAAGAAATTCATTTTCTTGCATCCATACAAACTTATTTCCAGTTCCTATACAGCCAACTGGTCCATCTCTAATAAAGTGGTCTTAAAAACGTAATCGTGGAAAGACAAACATTGAGGGTACGGTATTTCCCACTGCATTAATGGCTACACATAGTGTTACTAGAGTTCCACGTTCCTGAGATGATATTGCTTAGTTCCTTTTCTAGCTATAACTTTGGATGACTTCTGAACAGTCGAAACACCCATCTCGTTAATGTTATATATATTGTAAGGCTCAAAATTATATCTATCTAAAACAGTTAACAATTCATTAAAAAAGTTGTTTACAGTTTCTCTATTAAAATTCATGACTAGTAAAAGGCTAGTAGCTTGAGGTGTAAGAAGACTTAAATTTGGATTTCGTCGCATAAAAGCAATAAGCCAGTTTTCACTTGCATGTTTAGTCGCGTTCCATTTTTCTGCGTAGGACAGTCTGTTACACTTTGCAAATTGAAAAGCTAACTTGAGTAAATCTTTTGTGGTAAGTCCGAAATATAAATCTACAGTAGTTTAACAGTATTTAGCAAGCTTTGTCTTCATTTCATCTTCATATCCGAAAAAGCGGAAGAGTTTAACATAGATATGTATCATATTTTTGTCGATTTTAAAGCGGCATATGACAGTGTCTTAAGACCAAGTTTTTACAACGCTATGAATGAGTTAGGAATTCCAAAAAATCTCGTATGTTTGATAAAAGTGACAATGGCGAAGATGCTATCAGCAGTAAAAATTCAAAACGACTCGTCAACCCCATTTCAAATACATAGGGGGTTAAGGCAGGGAGATGCGCTGGCGTGTCAGCTTTTTAATGTCGCCTTAGAAAAAGTTGTACGAGACGCTAATTTAGATAGCAGGGGAACAATATTTAATAGATCAGTCCAAATTCTAGCATATGCAGACGACGTGGACATTATAACAAGAACTAGGGCGAGAACTGTGGAAATCCTAACCGAGCTAGTAGCAGCAGCAGAACGAATGGGGTTACATATAAATCAAAATAAAACCAAATTCATGGCGACTAACACAAACACAAGAGCTGGAAATGTTGACACAAATTTAATTATCAATGACCAAAACTTCGAAGCA